ACAAGCATAGCACTGATCAAAAGTTCTTCCATTCGACGTATTAAAATCATTTAGATTCTAAACAAAAAATTGAACCCAGAACATACTGTGAGGACTGAAGGTTTGGCGGTTGCGGACTGGCTGTGGCAGTGAACTAGGCTGAGTCACGCGTCGCAGAGAAGCGCAGACGATAGTCGCACAGTGGTCCCTGGCTCCCTAGACGTGAGGGCTGGACAGGGCGGACCTGTCGGTGGCTGTGAGGACGCGAGTCGGTGGAGGATGCGACAGTGAGGAGTCGGTTCTGCAAGTTTCTTTAGACTCCATTATTCTGAGGGATCTTGCGGAGTTTGGTCGGTGAAGGAGACAGAGAGTTCTTGCCTGTAGTCGGAGATGGTGCAGTGGGGAAATCTGGCGGTGGAGGTGCTGGAGGAGAAGAATCTGCTACGGAAGGGGATATCGAGGGAGTAGCGGGAGAGCTCTTCACTGGCAGTTGGGGGAAGGGGAATATTCCAACGAATCTACGGCGATTGTACAGTGAAAATGATGGTGAGAAGGAGGGTCAGAGAGAGTGAGAGGCTCAGGGGAACGAAGACGAGAGAACAAGAAAAAATTAGGGCTAATATCTTGAACTGATTTGATTTTAAGTACACTCACTTGTTGAGACTTTTCGCAACATTCGGAAAACGTTGCCAAAGGTCACTTTTTCGCAACGTTCAGTAAAGTGGGACTTTTTGCAACGTTCAATTAACGTTGCGAAACACTTTTCGTAACAGTCAGCGAACGTTACGAAAGATCACTTTTCGCAACGTTCACTTGAAAAATGTTGCAAAATATCACTTTTCGCAACATTCACTCACACGAACGTTGCAATTGACCCTTATAGCAACATTTTTTCAATGAATGTTGCCGTTTAATATTGAAAAAGCCCATTTTTGTTGTANTTTAGCAACATTTTTTCAATGAATGTTGCCGTTTAAATGTTGCAAAAGCCCATTTTTGTAGTAGTGTATCCCCTTGCAAACTCTACAATCTCAAGGAATTGAATGTTTAACGTTTTAAAAAATTGACTTAATAGTGAGATTTTTAAAAAATTTGTAACTCCTTAATAGTTGCTTTACTTGAAACTTTATTGATAATTTAAACTGTAGTAATTGGTGTTTCTTCCTAGAGAGATTCTAGTTAGGTGAAATGACTAATCATACTCATCAACATGTCTTTAAGTATTCTGTTTCATCTCTTAGTAACACATTTCATGCTAGGGGAACCCTAGCATGGTGTACGGTGGGACGATTTCATATTCATTCCTCTAGGAATTTAGAAAAGGCCCTGGACATCGTTCACCTGCTCTATAGTATTTACTACCACGACCAAATTGACATGTTTGATTCTTTTGCTGAGTTGATTTCAGCTTTGCCCTTTTATGCCTTAAACATGTCCAATGATTGGAATTTCTCATGAATGAGATACATATAGCCGTAATGAGAAAATTATTTTATGAATGTAATAAATAATTGTTGACCATTCCAAGAAGTCGAAGGAAATGACCCACAGCTATCCATATGAATTAGTTTTAAGACGTCCGGAATTATACACCTAATCTCATTATATTTGTTCGTTTCCCTTTAATACAATTAACATAAACACTTAAGTCTGAAAATTAAGGGGATTAAGAATACCTTCTGACACGAGCTTTTTCATTCTCTTTTGAGAGATATGACCTACATGCTTGTGCCATAATGAAACAAAATTATCATTAGTTAATTTACATTTAATTCCACTTGAATTCACATGCAATATTTTTTTATACAAGGCAACTGTATTAAGAAAATATAGGTTATTATAATCAGATAAAGAATTGGTACCCACAATATTTGAATTAAGAAAGAGACTAAACTGACTATTTCTACATGAACAAAAATAACTGAATTTGTCCAATGGAGAAATAAAAACCAAATTTCATCTAAAAAAAGGTATCACAAATGTCTTTCAAATCCAAATAATAATCAATTTTTAATGATAACTTAAAAAATCCATTTAGCCTCAACTTTATCTGATTTGCCATCGCTCCCACATAGATGAATATTTCAGCATCAACTGACTTTTGGCTGTTTAGACAACTCCGCATAGACACAGTTATGCGAGTAGTAGCACTAGAATTTATTCATCAAATGTGTCTTAGTATTAAAACTAAATTAATCTCAAAACAAACCTTGTTTTCGAAAATGCATTTTCAAAAATACAGACCAAATAAGTTTTTGATGTTTTACAAAATGAAAAACTGAAAACAACATGAAACCAATAAATCAAACACGCTTTAATTTAAAAATTACTTAAAAATAATGGTAAATTCACTATAGGGTTCCTCATCTTTTGTAATTGTGATACTTTTATCTTCAACTTGTAATTTGCTGCAACCTACATCCCATCATATATATGGTTGGTTATGTTGATATATTCATGAACTGCTTGTCCTCTAACGAAGGGGTTGAAGTTTTGAAAAGAGTGGTCGAGAAAGATGCTATCTATTGGTATTCTTTGTCATGTAGTGATGAGTTCATCTCATGCGTTTATTTGTTTCGATTCTTGTTAATTTACTATTATTTTGAGTGAATATCTACTTAATTTAGGTTAAATTTTGAAGATTGTAGGTAAAACTGGTATAGGACAAGTCTGGATGAAATTTGATTTAAGCGGTACAAAATTAAAGAATTGAGCTCAAAATAATCAAGTCTTAAAGATGAGGACTTAACATGCAAATAAAGAGGACACTCGAGATGCACAAGAACCTTATTTGGAGGACCAAAGTGCACTTAACTATAAAAAATTTCAACTTTTGTGGAATTCCTATTTAGACTTAAATTTCATATCGAAGATGTTTTAGGACTTGGGACTCCTTTTTAGAGTTATTCTATATTTCTATGTATTATTATTCTTTCTTTTTATTGGGACACACAATTTTAGAGAGAGAAAACACATAATTATTAAGATCAAATATCACAAAAGTTAGGATTTTAAGATTTTTGAGATTGAAAAAGATTGTTAGTTCAATATCCAATTCATTTCATCATCATGATTTAAAAACTCGATTCTGTTAACTATTATTTTTCTTTCATTATTATAAGTAGCTAAGTTCATAGTTAGGACAAACAATGAAATATATGCGTGACCCTTTAATTTAATTTTCAAGATTTTAGTAGCTTAATTTTTATGTTGTAATTTTATTTATGGCGTTTTGAACCGAGAGAGGTAAATAAAATATTTTAGAAAAATTAATCGACAATACAAGAATTATGAATCATACAAAAATATAAAAGTGAAGATCAAATAATTTCGGATGAGCCAAATA